TCTTTATATCTTAGAAAAAATGTACAAGAAGTCTTCACTGAAAGTGAGAGTTTTGTCTGCTTAGTGCAGGAGGATTTGTGAGTCATAAAATGTGGGAACATTAAGAGTAAAAAAAAAACGCTGAATTTAGTTCTGAAAACTGTTGGATATATGCTCACACTGCAGGAAAAAAAGAAGTATCAGATTCACCCAGCCGTCAAGTATCTTCCTGTGGGTTAACTAGACTGTTCTTTGACCATACATTCACGTGTAACTGTGGAAGCACGAACTCTCAAGTTCTTCGCAATTATGGTACAGAATTTCAGCACTGCATCCACTTGCAGGAATATCCTTTAGCTACAGTATATGTGAAGTTTCTAGTATAATATCCTGAATATTATTTCTTTTCTATCAATCTGTTTCGTTAACTGCCCATAAAGAAAGCATGGGTAACATTGTGCAGTCTGCAAGAGTTCTCTCTCACCTATTTCTTAGATGCCGTAGGAAATTTTTAGCTGAAATTTAAGGCAAAAAGAATAATATCTATACTAACATTTTTCTTGTATATTCTGATAAAGTTCCAGGACTAAGCTCAGGCCAAATCTAGTAAAAAAAAATATATATATATATATATGTATAAAAAAATCAGTCATTTGAATAATTGCATCAAAAATCTTACCTAAGTGGTGATTTATCACCACTTCTAGGGTCTTCCATCTACCAATGATACTGTGAGGATAGAACACCAAGAAAAGGCCTCTGTAACAAGAGCTATGACGTCCCTCAGACAGTTATGCCAGTTCAGCAATTGTTTAAGATTATTTTGCTTCTTACTTTTGTCCCTGATTGAAAAAGATTTGTGTTTGCCCCACCCAGACCATGGCGGAGTGAATCGCTGTTCTGCAACCAGAGATTGAGCCAGAAAGAGAGTCCTAAACAGAGTTTCGCCACCATTATTTTGGCACCTCAGACATTATAAGTCTGTTGTGGTCTCTTATTTCCTCACATATGAAAGGGTGCACCATGGACTTTTTTTATAAAGACACTTTTACTCTAAAGGGAAATAAATAGAGATGCTGTCAAAATACTAATGAAAACACATGCTTAATACTTTTCAAATAACTGATTTCTTTCTTCTCTTTCTCTGTTTTTGCTTTAAAAGGCAAGCCATGATTTCCAAACTTTTTTAACTTCTTAATCTTGCAGTATGAGGGTCTGGTTACCACTTGAATTGCTGGACCTAATGACACTACTGTCACCATTAGACACTACTTGAAATCTTTATTCATTAAGCATCAGCACTTAAGGCTTCAAACTATGCAAATCAGAATCATACCAAATTTACTCATTTCATATTCATACCTTTAAAAATTATACAAAGCACATGGAAAAGCAGAATCAGACTCATGACCTCTGTTGATTACCAGGAATGAAGCACTAGAGCAACTTTAAACAGACTGAGTGCGGAAATATTCACTGTTTTGCAAGAAAGCAGAAGTTAATCCAAGATACTTTATCCAAGTTTATTAAATGCTAGCAGATATGATTGACATGTGAAGAACATTTTCCATTTAGTGTAGTTAAGAATCTCCATTGTTGGAGGAGAGGAGACAGAATGGCAAAAATATCAAGCCTGGAGAAAGATTTATGACCCTTAAATGGATGCTTTTATACCAGAATGGACATGATATTACTGAAATGGACACTCTTACACCGGATATGACATTTCCTGGACTTGACAGTTTTACCCCAGTTCTACCCAGTTTATTGTTATATTGTTATATGGTTGTGTATACCCCCAGTTGTTTTAAAAGCCTACCCACCATATTGTCTCCTTCCTCCCCTCACAGTTTTCCCTCCAAAACCTGTTGTCCTCCCCTGTTTTCCCGCTCCCCTGCACCTGATTGGCCACTAAGTGCTGCAGTGCAGGGAGAGCTACCATTGGCCCATTTCCCCGGTTACACCCAAACTCCTCCCTTCCTTACCCAGTCACCCTAACATAAGTGTCCCTGAGCTGCCAGTCCTAGACTCCTCCCCTCTCCTGGTTCCACCTCCTTATCCTACCCTATTTAAGTCTCATGCTCCCCCAATAAAGTTGGCATTGCTTCACGAGACCTCTGCTGTGTCCCGAACCCTTTTTGCAGTGCCCGCTCCCATTCCCTTTCCCCGTGGGCCGTGGCACTCCATCACAAGCATAATGCCATATGGCATTATTTCCCTTTATTTCTACTATTTTCTTTAAGTGGAAATTTTGAAAGCAAATAATATATTCTATATCTATATCTATATTCTGTTGTCAACTTTCATCGAAGTATGAGCTGCAGATTCTTCAATGGCATACTTACCTGATTAAGTTGGTGCAGGAATGTCTCTGGGTCCAACAGTAATAGGTCAGTGTAGATAAATCCTGGCAATTTTCAGTGCCTTGATAGCTTACAATTTAAATTATAAACCAGGCTTCAGTTTTGATTGACACAAAAAATCCTAATATCTACTTAAGTTCACTGTGCCAATTTACCAAGCAAGCTTAAGATTCATGTTGAATATTATGTTTCCACAAAGTTGCACCCTTTAAAGGCAGACACTTCACAACTTTAGCCTAGCCAACCAATATTTGAAACTAAAAGCATGAACTACAAGGCATTAGACACCATGCAATTCACAAAAAAAAAAAAAGTCTATTAAATTTTTCTTGATTACCTGTTCGAAGAAATGGATTTTTCAGTAAGTTGTTTATTTGTCTGGGGGACTGTAGGTAAATTAATGCTTTTAGAAAAGTAATGTCTATTGGGAATCAATAACTTATAAATCCTAACACTGTAGTTGGAAAAAAGTTTAATTACTTATAAAATGATCATTCCAGTATGTTAGTCAGATTTCATAATTCCATCAAAAATAAGATACCTTAAAAAGCACTTAATATACCAGGACCTCAATCATTTCTGTATATTAATGTTCTAGAACAAAATCCATATGCAGTGAAATTATAAGACCAACACTCAGCTTGCTCAACACTCTTGCAGAAAAAAAACCGCTTTAAAGACAAACATAAATGTCCTAATTTTACATCTTAGAAGACAAAGAAGAAAAAAATATATAACTGGTCTCAGCAGCAAGTTAAAGTACTGGTTGCATGGAAGTGAATTTGAAGTTTACAGTTTAATCACAGCAAGATGTCATCCAGGACTTTAAAATATTTAGTATTGACAAAGGTGCTAGTAAAGTAAGATAAAACCCAACTGACAGTTCCACTATAATTATTTCATAAATAAATATCTTCTCTAGACTCTTGTTTTAATAACATATTTAATTTTCAGTGTAGATTGAAGCTTCAACATTTTATCTCCCCTGATGATACACTTCATTCTCTTCAGATCAGTGTTTATAAAGATCATGTTTCTACACATATATCAGGAGCTGAATAGGATTGTTCTCAGAAATCTTGATTATTTAAAAGGAAAAAGATTAATTTCTATTCAAAATTATTATCTCCCTCTGTAGTAGATTTAAATGGACATACTTGAAGTATGCAGGGTTTGCTGTTGATTAAGCTTTCACTTTTAGTGTGCTCAAACCAAGACAGAAATCCCATGTACTGAGAATACTGATCCCTAGAGTATCATTTAAAAAATCATACCTCTGATACCCAATCCACTTTTCTGCGGTTTACAGTGTGCTGAAATCTGTGAGGCAATTGCCTATTGGAGGTATTGGACAGAAGCGTAACGTTCCACAGAAAGATGACTGCCTTGTTTCTTGCATCATTTCAGATTAACTCTAGCAGAAACACCCAGGAACAAATAGCTGAGATCACTAATGCCTTGGCCGTGAAAAGGACTAAATGAACTTACAGATCTCTACTGCATTTAACTTTCAGGATTATACAGAAAATAAACCCACTGTGAATAAGGGTTTAGCACTGCCAGAAGCCAGGTTGGACTGAACCAAGTAAGAGGTCTGTTTTGCCTGTCTTTCAAGTGCTAGAAACTAAATTTCCTTTCAATCCATTATTTCCTAGCTGGGAAGTAAAATGAAATGTTGAATGGCATCTATTTTCACACTGGAGAATGGGAAAAAGGACCAGAATCTTTCCACATTCAGAATAAGAAATCAAAAAAACAGCAAGAGAAACTACTTCTCCTTTGAAGGTTATTCTGTCATATGTACATAACAATCTTCTAAAGATTCTCTCCCGTCAGAGATACTCAGTAATTTGTGCCATAGTTGTCAGTTGACCAATGCTGAATAAGCATGCACAGAAAATTACTAGTAAAGAGTTCTATCTCCTCTTAGTCACAGAGCTGAAAGGGAAACCAAATGGATGAGTGGTCAGGTAATTACAGCTACACAGAAAGTACATGGTCGTAAGTTAATCTTTTTCTCTTATTCTTCCCTTTTCCATCTTTAAAAAAGTCTCCTTTTAAAGAAAGAGGTTCTTTTTCTTCATTTAAGCTTCCCTACTTCACTCCCTTTTGTTGCCACACCATTCCTGAATGTTTTTTTTTTCCTTCTGAAAAAGCAAGCGCAGGAGAGCTTTAGGTAAAAAACAATCCTAGTTTCAGACAAGGAATGTCCTCACCATATAACATGATCAAAATATGGTACCCTCCATGGGGAGTTACAAGGTTCATCCATGTAATTTCACGGGTAGTTGCAATTTCATCCTCTGAAGAGTTCCTACAGCTTGTTGGAATGCTATGAGAGCCTTGTCCCACTGGAAATATCACCATTGCAATGACCTGTAGTCTGCCATGTAATCCATGGCTGTTGTGAGTTCTGTCTGTCTTCTCCATCTCTGCTTCTTAATTCCCACTTCTCTTAAAATGATCTTTTGTCAAAGTACTATTTTTTTTTCTGTTGTGCTAGTTCTTTTCCCCAAATTACTCCATTTCGGCATCCTATGTAAGTGAAAAGAAAAATTGCAATGCCAGACACTCCATGAATTGGTATGGATTTCTGCATATATCTGCATATATCTTGCATATGTCTGAAATTTAAAAAACAATGAGGGATTTGATTACCTGCCTGAATAATTCCTATTCTCTTTTTTAATATTCCATCTGGGGTAGTTACAATGAAACAAATGTAAAGATCATCATCTTTCAAAATGCTCTTGATAAAGGATGAGGACTTGTCACCCTGGAAGCATTTACAAAATAAATTCTTCCATTGTATTTGTCTTTTCTATGAATGTCATAGGTTGGATGTAAGACAGTTGCATTTTCTTTATGAGTTACAGTAATTTTCATCCAGGATGTCTGGATTATCACATCTTTTTTTTGGATATATACATTATAGTTTCACCTTCTCAGTAAGTTTTACAGATGAATCCACAAACTATGCTTCCACACTGGCTAAAGCACACACAGAAATTCAGTTTCAGAATTAACATAATTAAAAATTAAATTTGTAGAGAAACCCAGAGACAATTTTGGTAGCACTACAAGCAATACACTGAAGAAATAGTTTGCTAAAAAATCTCCAAACCTTACAAATTATTATTACTTCTGAATTGTGAATATCATTGAACAGCTAAAATTTGTCTGACCCCCACAGTCACACACTCATGAATTGCAATCATAATCTGTCATGATATGATAAAAAAAGGAAAGATGCTAGGTTTAAGAAAGTAACCTTGCTTCCACAAAGCTGGAGGTCAACAATAAAAAGAACTGTGTGGTCCATCTGAAGGAACACTGGAATCAATGACTACAGTGTGACATGGTTTTATTCAATCTCTGCACACCAAGTGCCTCTCTCACAGGATGTTTATACTTTTGAAATATGAAAAACACAATGTGCTTTTTCCTTTTACATTCTAAGAAACACCAGGTTTGAGGCCTCAGTGCAGTTGCATCAAAGATTGTCTGAATTCCTACCAAAATCCATCTCAGAATGAAGTTTTCACTACTAATAAATATACAGCAATATGCATAAATACTGTGATGAAGCAGGGATCTTTAGGTTTCATCACCAGAATTCTTCCATTTGATGTATCCAAAATGAACAGAATTTTTCAGACAGTGCAGTTCAACATTTATCTACTATTCAGGAAGTACAAAATCTAAAGAGAAGATAAGAGACTTCCTATATATTACAGGTCATAAGTCTGTGAGTAGTTATAAAAAGTAATGTCTTAAGGTCTGAGAATTTATTTGTGATAACATGTCATGAGGTATTATTTTGGGATCAAAATTATGCAGCTTGAAAAATCTTGTTCAAAGGTGTAAGAATCCTGACTATTCATGACTCATGTTGAAATTTGTCAAAACAAGCCTCACTCTTACATTTTTTATGGATTTTTCTTGGGACAACTGCAAGCATAGTTTGTACCTTAGGAGACTATAGTTTTATGGAGCTGCTTAGAATTAGAACAATATAACTGATTTGAAGTCAAAACTAAGCTTGAATCAATTCATTAAAATTCTCAAATGAATAAACAAATGTAATTTGAACAGAAGCTGACAGCAGAAATTAGTACTTCAGGTGAGTAATGACCTGCACAAGCTTGAACAGGACTCAGCATTAGATCTGCTTAAAATACCTTCCACAATGCAACAACCTGTCTGGAAATAAAAATCTGTCTATATTTATCTCTATAACGATAGGTATGTTTTAGGATAATACAAACTAGAGTTTTTTTCCAATTTGATTGATTCTCTGATTTTCATTGTTTCCAATGACTCCCTTTTGCCACTTCCCAGATAGATCTGTAACTCCCCATTGTTGCAGTTACACTTATTTCTACTCTGCCTTGTCAACAAGCAGAATCTTCCAAATGATGAAGTAATAAAAAAATTGTGCTCTGTAGCACTTTTTAACTCAAAAAGATGTACTATCTGAATACACTTACTTTGAGAAATCAATAAAAGGTAATATATAAATATATTAATAAAAATGTCTCTTTTTGTCAAAATTTAGAAAAAAAATAAAATTATAAAGGTTACTTTTTACAGTCTCTTAAGCTGACGTGATTCTTGTGTTCCTGTTATCTACGACAATTTTTACAGAAATTTCAAGTATCTTATTAATTTTCTTCTTATGGAGGGCAACTCCCTGAAAAAAAGGAGATCTGCATTTCAGTGTGAAAAGGCAATAAACCTTGACTTTTTTTCCTTTTTCTTTCCTTGTGATTTTTTGCTTTAGCAAGTGACTACCTATTTTTTCCTGTGTGGGAAATCATGTTCAAAGCTGTAGGTAAGTGCAGTTGCTGTTGATAATGTATTACTCTAAACAGGATTGGTTTTTCCTTTTATGAGGAAGTTGCATACTTGGAATTAATAGAATCAAAGAATCACAGAATTATAGAATGGCATGGGTTGGAAGGGATCTTAAAGATCACCTGGTTCCAAGCCCCCTTCCATGGGCAGGAACACTTTTCACTAGACCAGGTTGCTCAGGGCCCCCGTCCAACCCCACCTTGGTCACTTACACAGATGGGGCATCCACAACTTTTTGGGGAAACTTGTGCCTCACCACCCTCATAGATTCACTAGATATGTTACAGATCAAAAAGATCCTTAAAAAATAGAAAAATACTATATGCAAAATCTTTTCTTAAAAGCCTGAGCTTAGTTTACAAATCATATTTAATAAAACTGACTCTTTGTTAAAATTTCTATTGACCTTGTCTCTTCATTTGTGCATTGTTTTTATTATTACTTCAATATTCTGAGAATTTCCTCAAATACTGGAACTTCACAGCAGCGAAGCAGCTCTGAGGATTAATAAAGTCCTAATACATGATTGGTTTCTTTTAACCTGCCTCATGATTTCTAAGAGTATTATTTACTTACATTTTAATTGAGCAATTGAAATTGTCCCTGACAATCCAAAATCTAGATTCACAAGGTACACCTAGATATTCAGTAGTCCATCTGATGCTCGGTATACATATCTAAATAGAAGAGAAATGAGCTGGAGACTGAGCCTGGTTCTATTTGCATGACAAAGTTATCTTTTCAAACAGATCAAAACATTAACTTATATTTAGCTTGTCTCAGGAAACACAGAAGTATTACTGATAAGAAAAGCAGGAAATGGGAAGCTTCAGATACTATACTGCAGATTTTGTATTGAAAATGAAAGGATTTAAAAGTCAAATGTGTCATGTTCCTAGATGTTTTGTGGCATTGTAGCCTTTAAACCTGTTACATTGGAACTATATGGATCCCATATTTAAAACTTTAAGCTCCTCCTAGCAGTTCTCAAACTGCAGTTGCAGAAGTGGCAAAAAAAGAAATTACCTCCGTAACTCGAAATATTATTCTTTATTCAACAATATATATGCATATAGTAGTTTACAGATAAGTGATGTTCCGCAAAAATCTAAAGTAGAATGGAAAATATAAACAAAATATGTTAATTTTTCACCATTATTATTACAAATTAAATTTTTGACACATCTGTCTTGTTTAACCAAAGCTAAGATAAAGTATTCATGCAGACTCCAAAACAAAGATATATTCCCTTAAATGGAAATTATTTTTCACTTATCTGTCTATATATATAAATGGCAATTTTATTGCTCTGAATTTCATGTTCCATTCCATTTCTCCCCATCTGGCATTTAAAGTAAAACAGAAGTTAAGAAATAAACTTCTAATCCCATATGATGACTAAGTATTGATGATATGTTAATGTCTAAGGACATTTAATTGCTCTACAACAAACACAGTTACTACAAACATCAGGAATTCTTGTCCAGCTAGTCCCAAGAACAGTATCCCTCATCATGCCTGCTGAAAAAAACCCCTGTAACCAGAGCACTACCGGATCTCCCTCCAAAGGCTGCAGTTTAAGGCTCCTCTAGATGCCAGTAGAAGTCACCTATACAGATTTGTCAACGCACCCATGAACCATAAATCTGAAAACTGTAGGCACTCTGAAAGTTTATTTCACTGGTATAATTTGGGGATTGGTACATAAAGTATCATATTTTTACAGAAGCTGTAACCTATAAAAAGATAAACACACACCAGAAGATAAATATACTTCCACCCTACCCACCTGGGCAGTGAATGTGTCAGGGCAGGTATTGTAAGGGAAAACCCATTGTGCAGCCCACTCACTTCTAGCCTCTCCTCATTCCTCCCTTACCTCTTTTCGCCCTACCCCCACTTCACTGAAAGGCTGGAAAACCCTCATTTCTCCGATCATCTGTGGATACGAGACTCACAACAACATCAGTAGCACATTTCACAGTCACTCCATCACTTGAGCAGTTCCTTGGTCTCTGCCTCTCTGTTTTTCTGCCCACTCTTCCTCACAGCATGTCTCTTCTTTCCCAGTTATACCACTTTCTGGCTATCCTTTGAACCCCAAAGCAAAGGGAATGCTCACAAACAAGCCATATTTAACTAATAGTTGGCTAAATGCCAAATACAGTTTGAAAACAAAAGTAGCACAGTGGAATTTTCCGGCTGAATTTACAACCGTGGGATGTGGTTTAAAAGAAAAAAAAAAAGAAAGAGAAAGAGTAAAAAAGATTGTGCAGCAAACACAATGTAGATCTACAGCTTGGATTTTAATCATGACTTCAACATACATCTTCAGAGACCCTGGATGAGTCATTTCATTTCCTGGTGAATTAATTTTCCAAATTCCAATACATAGATAATACATAATGAATGTTGCTGTTTCAAAGCATGTCACAATAATCTCTGTAATGAGGTTTTTTAATAGAAATTGCTACAAAACTGTGAAGAATAAGACACACATATAGGGCCAGCAAGTATGTTAATACCCTTTTTAATGATTCATTAGTATTTAAGATTTAGCAGATAGGCCTTTAGCAATAATGTAGAAAGAGTAGCAAATATACTTGCAGAAAGCTGCTACCACCAGACTGTGGCAGTGCAGTGAAGCAGGAGATAGCTAAAAACATCACTTCAGGTACTACTGCTTTACCTGCAAACATGACCAAAATGACCAGGGCAAAAAGGCTTTTTAGTTTCAGTGACTTTTCAGTGAAGATAACAAAGCGAGTGGGCTGGAGGGATGGAGGTTTTAGCAATTTCACACCTTCTGTGAGCATCCCTGTAGATTAGCTCTAACCCTGTAGAAGCCAGGTTAACCAACCAAGAACAAAAGTTCAGTGATAAGTGATGTAACTCCTTTCTCCGTGAGTGAGGGTCTACCATCAAGAAAAATACCTCTTTTTTTCCATTCACCATTCTATGTTTCTTTAAGCAGGATGGCTGAGTGGTACAGCCAGATAAAGGCATTATAATTCAATTTGCTTTTTCCTATTCTGCACCTAATTTAATTGAATCAATAAAGCACCCCAAACTGGATTAATCTATAGGCATGCTTGATTCAGTAACATAATGGATTAAATTCTTCAGTGTGTTTCTTTAACCTCAGAGGAGAATTAAAATGTACATCATATATTACTACGGAGAGAAATAAAAAAGTTGCAAATTAAATACAATCACATATTAGGGATATATTGGTTAAGATGATTCAGAGAGGAAAACAAATTGAATTTAAAAGGCTTTCCCAAATGTAGAGAAGAAAAGAAAATATAATCCACATACTCAAATTCCTGATAATTTTTTATTCTTAAAAGTGCTGGTCTCCAAGATTTTGAGTTATATAAATTATAGTTCTAGAATCAAATGCTTCAACCAAAATAAATCAATTTTTTAAGAGAATATGAATTCAGGAATCTTTATATAAATGACGATGTTTCTGCTTTTCTGAAACTGGCAAATTATTTACATTTTTGGATATTCATCCTAACATTACATTGAATACCTAAATGTGTCAGTATCATGGTTTAGTAATGGTATCCTCCAATTTAGTGTTCTCTCTGAAACCATTCACTCACCCATCTGCCTCCTCTGTGTAGGGCTGGAGAGGAGAACTGGAGGAAAAAACGTAAAGATCATGGTTTGAGATAAGAACAATTTACTGGAAACAGCAATGAGATAAGAAAATGAACAATAACAGTAACAATATTAATATCAAAAGTATAGAAGGGAAGCAAGTGATTCACATGCAAATGCTCACCACTATATCATGCAGAGCCCAACAACACCCGACCACTGCCACACTACTCTGAACTAGAAGGGATCCCTTCCCCTGTCCCTGGAAAATGATGTGAGGTATAGAATAACCTCCAGGTCCTAGCCATGCTTCCTCCTGGCTACTGCAAAAATTAACCCTGTCCTGGCCAGAACTGGGAAAGCGAGAAAACTAAAGACTGTTGATCAGAAAAACTACAGCTCTATGTGTTGTTTTTAAGTAGATTTCATCTTCTTCACAGTAGCTTGTATGTGGCTGTGTTTTGAATTTGTGCTGAAAACAGTGTTGTTAATATAGAGATATTCTCCTTATCGCTGAGCAGGGCTTACACAGCATCAAGGCACTTTCTGTTCCTCCTCCCACCCTGCCAGAGAGGAGACTGGGGGTGCACAGCAGCCGGGACAGCTGACCCCAACTGACCAAGGGCAACATACCATATGGCTCAGCATACAGAACTGAGACAGGAAGAAAGAAGGCAGGGCATGTTCAAAGTGATAGCATTTATCTTTCTAAGTCACTGTTACAGGTGACAGAGCCTGGCTTTCCTGGTGCAGTGGGTTGACCCTGGTTGGATGCCAGGCACCCCCTAAAGCTGCTCTATCACTCCCCTCTGCAACTGCACAGGGAAAAGAAAATATAGCAAAAGTTCATGAGTTGAGATAATGACCAGGAAAGATCACTCGCCAAATACTGTCGCGGGCAAAACAGACTCCACTTGGGGATATTAATTGAATTTATTAGTAACAAAATCAGAGCAGAATAATGAGAAGTAAAACCAAATTTTAAAATATCTTCTTCCTTCCTCTCCCTCCTTCCCAGCTCTACCTTTTCCCCCCAGCAGCACAGGGAGATGGGGAATGGGTGTTAACAGTCAGTCCATCACAGGTAGTTTCTGGCACTGTTCAGAGAGAGGAGTCCTTTTCCTACTCCAATATGGGGTCCCTCTCACGGGAGACAGTTCTCCAGAGAAATTCTCCAATATGAGTCCATCCCACAACCAACAGTTCTCCACTAACTTCTGTAACATGGGTCACTCTTCCACAGGGTGCAGTCCTTCAGGCACAGGCTGCTCTGGCATGGGTCCCCCACAGGGTCACAAGTCTCTCCGCAGATCTGCAGGTCCCTGACAGGACGCTGCTCCAGCATGGGTTTATCAGAGGTTCACAGCTCTCTTTTGGATATCCACCTGTTCCAGCATGGTGTCTTCCATGGGCTGCAGGGGCACAGCTGCTTCACCATGGTCTTCACCATGGGCTGCAGGGGAATCTCAGCTCTGGCACCTGGAGCACCTCCTCCCCCTCCTTCTCAACTGACTTTGGTGTCTGCATAACTGTTCCTGTCTCATATTCTGACTCAGCTCTTCCCTGCAATTGCATCTGCACAACAATTTTTTTTCCTTCTTAAATATGTTATCACAGAGACATTACTATCCTCTCTGATTGGCTTGGCCTTGGCCAGCAGTGGGTCTGTCCTGGAGCCAGCTGGCATTGACTCTACCGGACATGGCAGAAGCTTCTAGCAGCTTCTTACAGAAGCCAGCCCTGTAGCCCCTCAGCTAACAAAAAAACCCTGGCCATGCAAACCCAATACATTCCACCCCTCACCTCTGTGAATCACATATTTAAGAATTATCATTAAAATACACATTAATCACACAGCCTTACCAACAAACTTATATCAACAAAACCAACCGGTAAAAATAAAACAAAACAAAAATTCCCAACATAAAATTCAAAATAACGTCACTACAACACTGAATGTAAGTGGACAATTTACACAAAATTCACACTATTGTGTTATCAACACCTTTCTAGCTACCAATGCAAAGCACAGCGCTGTGAGGGCTGCTACAGAAAATGAACTCCATCTCAGCTAGACCCAATACACCTGGAGATGGCTGAACACCTGCCTGTCCATGGGAACTGGTGAATGAATTCCTTGATTTGCTTTGCTTGCATGTGCAGCTTTTGCTTTCCCTACTAAACTCTCTTGTCTCCCACGATTTTTCTGGTTTTTCTACTCTTCCAGTTCTCTCCCTGATCCCACTGGTGGGTGACTGAACAAGTGGTTGTTTGGGGCTGAGCTGCCAGATGGGGTTAAGCTATGACACTGTAATATGAAGGCTGATGACACTAAATGTTGAAACTAAGGAAGAATATTTTCACAGCTTTATTCAGCTTTCATGATATGTGTGATGGATGTCATTTGAACATGTAAAAGATACATTTAATCACAGATTAAGCTAATGGAGAGACGTATTAATGGTATAAAGGTCTGATTTGAGCAGTGGAAGATACACCACTGCTGAACAATTTTTGAACACCGAGAAGCACTACTGCTGCCAACTTTCAAGTGAAAGGCAATGTTAGTAGGAGATAAGGTCTGTGGTATTTTCAGGATCAGTGTGTAAGTCACATTCCTTTGATGTGTTCATAGCAGGAGTGTCCACCTGTGACGACTTGCTGAACTTGAGGGAAGTTTGTGTGTCTATGTGTGAAGGGGAAAATCTGAAAGCAACCATCCAAATACTTCTCTGCATTTAAATAAAATAAAACTGGAAAACATGATGAAAAAGTGAAGATAATTTTGAAGACAATGAAAAAAAGCAAGCTGATCTACAAAGAAAAGAGAGAGAAAACCTCAGCAAATAATCTCAATAAAATATCCAGTTAATTAATTTTGATTGTAGTTTTATTTACTTGATTTTTTAATGATAAAGACTATCACCATGCAATATGTCCACTTTTATAATAGGAAGATAGTACTAGATTTCTATTCAAAATTTTTTGACATGCATTTCCATCCAGTAATAACACAAAAAAAACATTTGAAAGATATTAAAAAAACTAATTCACAAAGGAAAATAGTAAAATATATTTGAGTCTCTAAGAATTGAATGTACTAATACTGTGTAGTTGACTGTGCTTACTTCTTTCATTTTAATTCCTCTTGAAGTCTCTGATTTTATTAGTTTGCAAAAAAGTGATGTTATTTGCAGAAACATAAAAGTTTCATTTTAATGGAAGAAAAATGAAAGCAGAAAGGCTTCAAGGTCCTCATACAAATCCATTATTGGGACAGGAAATGGACTTTTCTGTTTTAGAGCACAGCCATTCTCA